TCCATGTTACTGCATAAATAAAGGGAGGAAGCAGAGTGAGAGGATTCCACCGGACGAGCCAGTTGCATTTTTATGTTGAACAATGACCAGATTTCTAGCGAGGAAGGATCTCTGTTTAACTTCATCTCAAGTTGAGAGTTTTGTTTCCTGAAAGAAACATGCATTAGTTTTTAACTGAATAAGTTCAGATAAGACGTCAGAGCATTTTGGCGGGAGGCCAAGGCCACATACGTTCCAACAGCAAAGTTTGAATTTTGTATTAACCATAGGCAGACAATTGCACCGAATTGAGAGGAAAATGGGTAATGTAAGCAGCAAATCGAGATTGAAATTAAACGAGAGTACCGATTTTTTTACAGACTAAAGGGATGAAAGCAAATACTGAAACGAGTACTGGGAACCCAAAAGAGCATGGCATGGTCACCTGCAATGGCGCTAATTGTCTATGATTGACAACATAAAAAGATCGACTACCTGGATGGGCAGCGACGGATGGCGAAAGGCGCGATCGTCTAATATGCTGCAACTTGGCGATCATGCAGTTTAACTGAAACTGAATCAGTCAAACATATGATGCCAGGAAACAACAAAAGATGAAAAGATCATTAACGAATCAGCCTATTCTCCACGCCAAATCATTTGCTGACAAAGGACTGCAAAATATAAAAAAGGAAACAACCAAAAGTATATATATGCACCACTGATCTGTTCTACGTATCGACCATAGCATATTATTAGTATTTGAAATGAGCACTTGTAAAATGTAATCTCAAATTGAATAATCAGTAGCAAGGAAGCTCTGAGTACTCATTTGGTTTAACTCAAAGTGCATCAGCCAAACACTTGAGGCAAAACCACAGCGTCAGAAAAGAACCAAATATTAACGAATCAAGCTGCCTGCTCTCAGAGTTCAGAAATCATCCTCACTCACAGTAGCTGCGCTTGTTGGCATGGGACAGTTCAACTCATGTAAATATGATAAACTGATAAATCAAGTAGTATAACATTTTCCCATTTTTATATTCTGTGTCAGAATGAGCTCAGGAAACCATTAAAAACAGATAAGTGTAGCTTTTAATGGCACCTAAATGTACACAGAAGAAACAACATGTAAAGTTTACATACTTTTCTTTATATGGCAATAGAATAAGTAGCGACAAGTGCAAGAAAACGAATTTCAATTGTGTGAAATAAATGGTTCTGACACAGAAGATACATTCTTGCCTAAACATGCAGAGACAGGGTTGCACATATTACTTGTGTGTTGCAATTTCAAATAGTGATCATACCTGCTGATAAAGTTGTAATAAATTGCATCCAAAGAAATAAACTCTGTACTGCATATTTCTAGACAAAAGTTACAAGGTTTCTAGACAAAAAAATACAAGGATGTGTTCTTTATTAAAGCAAGAGTAGATACACAGATAAATTAGCTACAGCCAGCAGGTGCTCCCAGTAACGACCCGACATAGAATAGGAGAGAAACAATGAGTAACCAAACAGAAGACACAATACTAGCAACATTCTGGCTGGGTCAGGCACCACCTCCTCAGTCCTGTTTTCCCCCACAGTGAGTTACAAAGCACTGCATTGTTGAATCGAGTAGAAGACCATTTTGCAGAGCTTCACAAGAACCATTATATAGACTGAAGAACAAGGGAGCCACATAATACCATTGCTTTGGACAGAGAGGGTGACGCCAGGATCAAAAAGGCTAACTATATCTAACACACTTACCACATCCACACGAGGACTTGTCAAAGGGATCAGCCATTGACAAATCATGGGTATGCCCGTGGTTTGCTGGGATCGCCTTTCCATCCCTTTTTAGTTCAATTCGAGCATTTTGAGAAGCTCTGTTATCCAACTGAAGCGGCCTATGTTGATCACGCATCCATTTGTCACACATACATCTGTAGCTGCCGTCGTCAAGAACTCCGACTTCCATTTCCTCCAGCACTTTGGCATTCAAAATAAAGAAGTTTGCAAAGTCGACTGATGGACTCTTGTCAGCATTGTAATTCTTCAACACCACTTTTTTTAGATGGAGTTCAAGGCATTCAATTTGCTCGAGTGGGTCAAACTTCCGCACATTATTCATAGCCTTTTGGGGATGCGACTGGGAATAGCAAAAATAAACGATATAGTGTCAGGTGACAACAAATTAGCAACAAAATACTACTAGTTCACTAGATCATAAGTCTGAACCACTGCTAAATTTGACATTTGTAGCAACAGATATAAGCACTCACAATGACATGGAGCTTCTCCAAGCAGGGGAAGCACTTGAGAAAATCAATAACTGCATCCAGATTAGGGCCAATTGAGTCAAGAGCCAAAATCTTCATTGTGTACATCTTGGTTGTCAAGCTGACAGCAAACATTTTCTGAAGAAAAACAAAAAAGTGTGTGATATATAAGAAATCATAGCCTGAATATAGGTATATTGAATGCGATATTGTCCTGGCTGCTACCTGAAATACTGTCGTTCCAAATTGGAGTGTGGATATGCCTTCCGACAAAAAACCCAATATCTGCAGTTTAGGAGCCCGAATCACTCGTATAGTCACGGGGCCATCATCTGGATAAATTGGCAGCAATCTATCAAGGCAAGGGGCATCCTCGATTACCAGCTCCTGGAAAGTGGTGACGCCTTGTGTGCGAGGAGCATAGAAGCCGATGCTCCGGAGGGTGGGCGACCTGATGCAAAGGCGACCAAAGCCCATGTTGTGCAGCGAGACGCTTTGCAGAACAAGGCAGCCCGAGATCACACTTTGCAGAGAGCTCTCCGAGATGCCGACATCGTATAGGATGAGCTGATTGAGGTGCGGGAAGCTCGGCGGCCGGGCAAGGTCAGGGAACCGGCAACCGCCGAGGCTGAGCACGCGCAGCGTCGGCGCGAAGCGGACCAGGGCGTGCTGCGGCAGCGGGTAGTAGCTATTCCGCAGGTTGGTGGCCTCGAGCTGGTGGAGGCCGGCGAGGGTCCCGGAGCGGAACCAGCCGTCGACCTCGTCGAAGCTCTCCGGGAGGAACATGAGCTGGATTGAGAAGCGGCGGGCCGGGCCGGGGTGATCGGCGAGGATCCTGGAGACCAGCGCCGCGCGCGAGACCTTTTCGGAGAGGTGGTAGTCGGCGATGAGGTTGAGCGGCGCCATGGAGGAGCGCCAGAGCGGGCGCCAGCGGCGGGAGAGTAACTGCGTGCGCGCGCCGTCCTTGGTGGGGAGGAGCGAGACGACGGTGCCGAGCAGCTCGTCCGGGAGGCGGCTGATGAGGTCGAGGTCGAGATCGAGATCTTCGGCGCCGTCGCCCGGTGGCCCCTGCCGGTCGTCCTCCATGGCCTGCGGTCGGCGCGCGCGAGGGTTTCGGCCGAGGACTAGGGAATAGACAGGGATCGTCTTCGGGAGAGACGGAGGGCGTAAACGGACGGCGAGCCACGGCACGATGTGGCCCAGCCCAGGCCAAACGAGACGATCGCCTTACCATGGCCCAGTGGTGTCAGCCCGTACAAGAACGGCGGCCTTTTTTGCACTCTCGTGATTTTTGTTTTATTTAACCAGGCGCCGATTTGTGGGAGCTACTAGTTAACGAGCGCTCTTTCGAGAACCTCGCAACGATCAGCGCCACTTAACGCGCTCTCAGCCATTCGCCACATGTCACACTCTGGGTGCTCCCTCCGGATTTTTTTTATTTTTTGGCACATGTTTTCGGCTTTTTAAACGGTTTTTCCGGGTTTTTTATGTTTTGCTTTTCCACCGGTCTTCCTTAGTTTTTCAATCAAAAAATTTTAAAAAAATGCGTGAAAAAACGCGTTTTATTTTTTTTTCTTTCGAGAGAGACATGGTTTTGCTTTCGCGAGAGGCACGGTTTTACTTTCACGAGAGTCACGGCCGTGCCTCTCAAAAACGAAAAAAAACGCGTTTTCTATTATTATTTTCGCGAGTCATGGTTTTTCTTCTGCGAGAGGCACGGGTGTGCTTTCGCGAGAGTCACGGCCGTGCCTTTCGGAAACGAAAAAAATGTGTTTTCTGTTTTTTTTTCTTTCACGAGTAACGGCTTTGCTTCCGTGGGAGGCACGTTTGTGCTTTCGCGAGAGTCATGGTCGTGCCTCTCGGAAAGGGGAAAAAACATGTTTTCTGTTTTTTTCATAAGAGTCATGGTTTTGCTTCCGCAAGAGGCACGGTTGTGCTTTCACGGGAGTCACGGGCGTGCCTTCTCGAAAACGAAAAAAACGTGTTTTCTCTTTTTTTTTCTTCCGTGAGAGTCATGGTTTTGCTTTCGCGAGAGGCACAGTTGTGATTTGTGAGAGGCATGGGTGTGCCTCTTTCGGAAAGGAAAAAAACCCGTGCTCCCGGTTCGGACTTTTCATCCGGTTTTTTCGTCCGTTTTTTTCGTGAAAAAAAAGTTCGTCAAAACCTATCAACATAGGATCTAGTTTTGAAGATCTCGACGCGAGGAATCCAACGATGAATCCGGTTCGAGATTTGGACGCACGGTTTGAGAGATAAAACATTTTGACAAAAGAGAAAACTCCCAGCTTGCGACAAGTGGCGCTGCATGGGCGTCACTTGTCGTAATCAGGGAAATTGGAGTGATCTTTACAACGAATACTCCTTTTTTTTGGGTTGCAACGAATACTCCTGAATTAGTGATTTCGCCGATTTGGGAGTTGGCGCTCACGTGCATGCCAACGGCGGGCGGCCCAATCTCGCCCCCGGCTCACTCGGCTGCTCGCTTCGCCCCACACTGGCCTGGGCACGCTGGCACGTTTTTAACGCTACTTACTTGTGTGACAAATTCCCTCAAAAGACATTGTGTAAAAAAAAACTGCTAATGTTTTTTGTCCTTTTAGTTTTTTCTAAAAATTTGAATGAACTCAAAAAAATTCTGATTAAATGATTGCGGTTTTGAATTTTATCACAAATATGCAAACGTTCATGAATTTTGCTAAAAAAATCTAAATTCAAAAAAATGTGGATTTGAAAAAAAATCATGGATTTAAAATTCATGAATTTGTAGAAAGTTTGCGGATTTTAAAAAATCATGATTTCTAAAAACATGGATTTGAGAAACTTTAGGAAATTGGAAAATTATTCACCAATTTGAAAAAGTTCATGAATTCAAAAAATGTTCATGAATTTAGAAAAACTAGAAAAAAGATAAAAAAGTACCAAAAATAAAAAGGGTAGATGAAAAAGGAAAGAACAAAAGAAAACCCAAGCAAAACACAAAGGAAAAAAAACCTGAAAACACCGGGCCGAAAACTTGTAAAAATTTCTAAGAACCAGGCTCGAAAGAGCAAAAACCGAGCAAAAAGTTGTGAAATCTTCTGGAAAACGAGAGCGTGCGAGACCTTTATATATAGGTCGGCCCATACAAGACGTTCAATTGGCGCCGTGTACAATTAATTCATTATTTGGCGGATCCCCTGGCGACCTCTTTCGGGCGCCAGTGGTGCACGCGCGCTGCTTTAGGCGAGCCTTGGAGACGACAGCCGGCGGCGGCGGCCCGTGGCGGCACAAGATGTACACGGCGGACCAGCGGCTTTGGCTTGGTGCCACTATCGGCGGGAACCACGGCAGGGACCGCCATGGGTTCGACGGGAGGAGCAGTGAGATCGGCTGGCGAATCGGCGGCGGGTGGGATGTGGACGGGGGGCGGAAAACTTTCGCGGGGCCGCTGGGTTTGCGCGTGGCCGAGTTTAGGCCTCCTTTGGTTTGTAGGAATTTTATAGGAATTCTATAGGATAGGATTTGCAAAGAAAAAATTCTTTTGACGCCCTTTGGTTTATAGGAATGGATTCCTATTCCTATGTAGGATAGGATTCAATCCTTCACATTTTGAAGTAAAAAAAACATTAGCCTAGACTCAATGGAAAATTTTCTATCCTATGCATCAAATGACATCTCTTCCTTTATAGAAATTGAGATGCATGTCATCTCACTTCCTATGATTTTTCTATTCCTTTAAAAAATTTATCCTATGAACCAAAGAAGGCATATAGTTTTTGTGGCAGCTGCATGGTTGCTGCGAATATGCAGCAGCGGGGGCACTGTTTGGGCATGATGGAAAAAATCGAAAGATCCAGCTGATGGCTGGCTTGTATTTCATTGATAAGCAGGGAGCAGACGGGAAAAAAAGATACATACAGTTTCCACTAGTGGAGATAACTGCAGAAAACACACTCAAAACGTTGCACTGACTACTCCCTACTGTCCCCCATGGGGTGCTCAATGCAGATCGCTCCAGCTTGCCTCCAGAGCTCAACATCTCTCTTAAATAGCGGCTAGTATATCTTCATGGCTAGCGACAGCAGTTCTGAAAGTGCATGCGTCTCTGCTTCCAAATTTCCCAGAGTATTGATCAAGATCATAGTCCGAATCCCTTTCCTATGTTCAGGTTTGGTGGTCCCGATCTTCTCTGTCACAATCTCCGTTGTGTTTTTCTTTGTATTCCATCTGGCCGGTTCAATCCAACCCAAGCCGTTGTTGCTCGCCATATAGCAAGGGAAACATTACATTCCCAGAACAAGTGAGTCAACTTATTCAAAAGTCTGAATTGATGGAGAGAGATGGGCAATATATTTCAACACTTCCCCTCACGTCTAGACTATTTTAGTCCTTAGACGTGGGATCGATGTAACACCCACGATGCGGCTATATCTCCCACGTGTCAGGGCACGACTTAGAGGCATAACCGCATAGTAGGCATGTCGCAAGAGGGGTAATCTTTACACATCTCATGTACTGAATATGAAAGGGATAAAGAGTTGGCTTACAATCGCCACTTCACACAATACATGAATATAGCATTACAACATCTAGAATACAATCAAGGTCCGACTACGGAATCAAAATAAAAGAAGATTACCCCTAATGCAAAAGATTCCCGATCGCCCCAACTGGGCGCCACTACTGATCAGCTGAAACGAAACAACACAATGAACGAGATCTTCATCGAGCTCCTCCTTGAGCTCGGTTGCGTCACCTGCACGAAATCATCGGCACCTGCAAGCTGGTTTTGGAAGTATCTGTGAGTCACGGGGACTCAGCAATCTCACACCTTCGCGATCAAGACTATTTAAGCTTATAGAAAGGATAAAAGGTTTGAGATGGAGCTGCAGCAAGCACTAGCATATATGATGGCTAACATACGCAAATGAGAGCGAGAAGAGAAGGCAAATGCACGGTCGAGAAAACTATGATCAAGAAATGATCCTAGAATAACCTACGATCAAGCATAACTCCAACACCGTGTTCACTTTCTGAACTCCGCCGAAAAGAGACCATCATGGCCACACACGCGGTTGACCCATTTTAATTAAGTTAAGTTTCAGGTTTTCTACAACCGGACGTTAACAAATTCCCATCTGCCCATAACCGCCGGCACGACTTTCGAAAGTTCAAAACCCTGCAGGGGTGTCCCAGCTTAGTGTTGGAAATATGCCCTAGAGGCAATAATAAAAGTATTATTATATTTCATTGTTCATGATAATTGTCTTTTATTCATGCTATAACTGTATTATCCGGAAATCGTAATACACGTGTGAATACTTAGACCACACTATGTCCCTGGTAAGCCTCTAGTTGACCAGCTCGTTGTGATCAACAGATAGTCATGGTTTCCTGACTATGGACATTGGATGTCGTTGATAACAGGATCACATCATTAGGAGAATGATGTGATGGACAAGACCCAATCCTAAGCATAGCATAATAGATCGTGTAGTTCGTTTTGCTAGAGCTTTGCAAGTGTCAAGTATCTCTTCCTTCGACCATGAGATCGTGTAACTCCCGGATACCGTAAGAGTGCCTTGGGTGTATCAAACGTCACAACGTAACTGGGTGACTATAAAGGTGCATTACAGGTATCTCCGAAAGTAGCTGTTGGGTTGACACGGATCGAGACTGGGATTTGTCACTCCGTATGACGGAGAGGTATCTCTGGGCCCACTCGGTAATGCATCATCATATTGAGCTCAATGTGACCAAGGTGTTGGACACGGGATCATGCATTACGGTACGAGTAAAGTGACTTGCCGGTAACGAGACTGAACAAGGTATTGGGATACCGACGATCGAGTCTCGGGCAAGTAACGTACCGATTGACAAAGGGAATTGCATACAGGGTTTGATCGAATCCTCGACATCGTGGTTCATCCGATGACAACATCGAGGAGCATGTGGGAGCCATCATGGGTATCCAGATCCCGCTGATGGTTATTGACTGAGAGCGTCTCGGTCATGTCTGCATGTCTCCCGAACCCGTAGGGTCTACACACTTAAGGTTCGGTGACGCTAGGGTTATGAAGATATGGATATGCAGAAACCCGAATATT